GTGCAGGGGAGAAGAAGAAGAGCAGATCACGCGGATAAGGAAGAAGAAAAAGAAAGAACAACTCAGCCATCCTTATCCTAATTTCCTTTCTTTTTAAGTCCCTCAAGTTTGGACATTTTGATCATTAAGCCTCAAAACACTATTTTCTCACACAAAGGTCCTTAACTTAATGCTAAAATATCACAAAATTTTGGGGCATTACAATGCATATACTTATTTAATTCCACGTCATATTAAATAATATCTAATATGAAATTTCATTGCACTTATAGCATTGCCTTTTTACCCAATTTTGTTTGATTTCATTGAAATGGTTTCCTTTACAAAGTTGTTAAGTGTGGCAACAATAAGAGCAAAAAAATTACACATGAAAAAAATAGGAGCATGGGGGGTAAAAAAACTAATGTCATATCATATAATAGATCTATCCATAGTTCCTTAAAAGTTCAATGTGAGATATTATTACTAATCACAAGTTTAATTCATTATAGGATTTCCAATCAATTAAATAACTTAATAGTATTGGTGGCTTAAATGCTCTAAGGGGAAAGGTGAATTAGAGTCTTCAAATTTTTTCCTCTTGTTTTAACCACCAAATGAAAAACAAAGAAAGTATAGAAGAAGAGCTTGTATAAGTGATTTTATAAAGGTTTGACCCAACCACTTGGCACACTCACTAAGGATTTCCTTCATATCCTCCATTAGTGCTTAAGAGTAGTTAAAGGAGCTAACCAATTCTTTTACAATATGTTTTACATTCAAACACTCTTCTTTATAAAAAACCCCAAAAAACCTCATTTGGTTTCTCTCTTGAAGGCTTCACTCACCCTCAAATATTTTTTCTTGGAGCTTCACTCACTCCTAAAGTCACAAAGAATGGGTAGAAAGAAAGAATGCAAAGGATATGATCATTGAAAGATCTAATTTGCAAATGTAAGATCAAGCTCTTGAAAGGATTTGTAAATTTAAGCTCAACTTTTGTTTTTAATCTTCTAATATGTGTCTAGAGCCTTTTTAAGATGCTTATCAATCATATTTATAGAACTAAGGTCAAAACTAGCCATTTATAACCATTGGGATACACTAAATACCCAACAGACACGTCAAATTCGAAAAACTAGCCATTACTATGCAATCAAGGGTTCAATCTAGAAACCAATAGTCAAATTTATAAAATCTAGAGTTAACTCTCTAAACCAAGAGTAGACTCTTCTTGAATTTTTAGAATTAGATCAATTTGTCTTCATGCAAACCAACAATATTAAAAGTCAAATATTAAAACTAACAGTCGAATCTTGAGCTCAAAGACTTGATTCTCCAAATGGAGGAGTTGAAGCCCTATGTCCAAATCTTTTTGAGCTCTTTAGAATTTGGGAGTTGAATCTTGCAACTTATATTCAAATCTTCAAACATTTTTTTTTGCATTTTTCATACTTTAACTTCAAATCATTATGTTTTTCTAATTCAAACTTTATTTTAAACATTCTTATACTCGTTAAAAAACATGGAATGTCTACCTCATATGAACTAACTTTTGAATCAAACTTTTATTGTAGATATATCTTTTTGAATGATTGGTCATTGTCCCAATGAATGAAGATTTGATTTTACGTAAGTTTTGTTTCTAAAATTCTATCCTTTGGTCTTACACACTTCCACAAAACTCATTAAACTTTTCCAATGGTTTTGTTATCATCAAAGTCATCAAAGGGGTTCAACAATCTCCTCCTTTTTGATGATGACAAAACCATAACTAATAAGCGTATAAAATCAATGAGCGTAAAATCAAACTCCCCCTACTAATTATGCACAACATTATAAGTTATGTAGTCTATGTATAATATGCAATTCATACAATTCTCTCCCCTTTTTTGTCAATATCAAAAAGGACTTATAGTACATAAATATATCAACTCAATCACAAATAAGTGATGTTCACATTCAAATCAACTTATACTTGCTCTAAACAAACACAAGCTTGGAGAGTTAAAACACTCATTCAAAGAATGCTCAAAATGCACAAGAACGTGAAATAAAAGAGGGATTATCATAAAAATCATGAGCAAATATGCATAAAAACATTATGTAACATCATAGCATGTTTAATGAACATATACCTTATCAAATAACATTTTTCTCCCCCATCTTGTTTTTCAACAAAAAGGTTTGACAAATTCATCAAGAGAACAAAAAAAAAAAAAAAAAATGAGCTGCCTTAAATTCATGCATATGAATATTTAAATTAACTAAGATCATCAAAAACATCAAAATCACAATGCAACATTAAGTATCAATTGTTTCCTGGTATTTATGATATTGGAGGAATTTTAGTGTGTTTAAGAATAATAGGAGTTTTAGGGAGCGATTATTGGATATGGTACAAGCTAAGTCATTGTTTTTTTAATCAAGAATAAGGTGGATTGTTTTGTTTTCTCTTTTTATGAGTGGAAGGTTAACTCAGTTGAGTGTGCTTTAGTCATGAGAAGGCTTGAAAGACTTATGAGGATGTTTTGTAAGTAGAAATAGGGTTTTGAATGAAAGGCTAAAAGGGAGGTTGAATCAATTAGTAGGTTTTTGATTTTGCTAAATATATAGTTGTTAGCTTGGTTAGTATTGTGATTGTATAGGTTTCAACTTTGTATATAGGTTAGAATACCCCTTGTGTTCCTTATAATAAATCAAATTTCTTTTGCTAATAAAAAAAAAAAAAGATCAAGCATAGTCTTAAATGTTCATAAGCATTTCAACCATCTAAATATATTTATAAGTACGTTTCTCCCCCCTTAATGAAGGCACTAATGGGACTATAAACATAATTATATAACAACATAATCAAAATCTTACAAAGTATGCATAAGAGATAAGATCAATTAAGATCAATTAAAATCTATGAATGAACATAAATAAGATATGTATAATAGCACACATGTCATATACTCAAGATAATGCTATATATGTATCTATCATGCTCATAAGGAGTTTGAGATTCATAGGTTTACTTCCATTATTATTAGAACAATTGAGTACTTCATTGTAGAGATCATTGACTTTACTTTCTACATTCCAAACTTATAATGCCTCTCCTTTGTATGTTTCCTTTGATGGGTGAAAATGTCATTTTTGGGATAATTTCATTTGGGGTTCCAATACGTTTAATCATCTTAAGTTTACCTAACATTGCTTTGGAAAACTCTTTGTAACAAAACTTATTAATATCACAAAAAATAATGTTAATGCCATCATTAAGCACATCATATATATTTCTTACCCTCGAGATATATTACCAATTATCACATTACCTTTCTAAAATGTTTCTCTTGGATAATCATATTCTTTGTTTTGTGCTTGTGATATCTCCTCAATCTTGTTCTTCTCACTTGCTTTACATGGAGGTTGTGTGATACTATTGCCTTCACTGGTCATTCTTATTGTTGTTGTCTAATAACATCAACAAGACAATTTCACAACTTATTGTAGAGCAAATAGGGTTAGTCTCATTGAATACCACATGAAAAGATTCAACAATATTTATCCTATTTATATGTATCATAGTATATGCTAGTAAATATCATTAATCTTGTTCATTGAAATCAACCATGACTATGTAAGCATTTAAGTGCATGACATACACTTGCACAAAATCAAATATCATCAAAATCATCCATCAAAAAGCAAAGGTTAAACCCTTGTTTTGGTCCCTGAACTATTGTATGGACCCTCGATTTGGTCCTTGAACTAAAGAAACCCCTAATTTGATCCTTGAACTATTGTGCGGACCCTCGAGTTGGTCCCTAAACTATTATACGGACCCCCCGAGTTAGTCCCTAAACTATTATATAGATCTCCAATTTGGTCCCTACTGTTTACCAATTTAGCTCCAACTTAGTCTTCTGTTAAATAATAGCTCAGGGACCAAATTGGGGCGAAATTGTAAACAGTAAGGACCAAATTGGGGGTCCGTACAATAGTTCAAGGACCAACTTAGGCCAAATTATAAACAGTGGGGACCAAATCGGGGGTCCGTATAATAGTTCAGGGACCAAAATAGGGATTTAACCAAGAGCAGACATACAACTTTTCTAATATACTTAACTTCCAAGTGTAGACTCTCCGTATGGCATGCTCAACTTCCAAGTGTTATCATCAAAATTGTGAAAATAATGAGACAAGTAAATTAGAATGTAATGAACCATGTAAAGTAAGACAAGTGATCACAATTATTCAATTAAATCAAATCATCAACGATCATCAAAATGGCATATACATTGAAAATCACTTGTACCATTAAAAGCTCATCATGAATTATATATGATAAATATCAATCTAATCATTGACATATGTTAAGCATGTAAATATGACAAGAGTAATATATATAGCAATCAAAAAAGTTGTGTTAACACTAAAAAGACACATCAAATGATATCATACTCAATGTACATCAAATCATATCATACTCAATATATATCAAAGAATGAGCACACATGAACAAGTAATTACTAGTCATATTAATGTAATTATATTTATAATAAATAAATATAATAAGATAGATACCATTTGAGCACATGAGTGGAGCATTCAAAAACAAAATTTTCTTTGTATTGCTACTCCAACATTCATGTTGAGACAAGTCTTTTATCAAGATCAACTAGTACTGTGCTTTTCTTATGACGTTGCCATCAACTTTACGTACAATACAAAATCGAGTTTTGATGTTTGGTATCCAAATGTACTTGGGTCCTTGAGAGTTAGTGCTTAAAGTTCCTTTTGAAATCTAATTTTACCTTACTTTGCCTTGAGCTATTAATTTCTTCAAAGGGCACACATATGCAGTATGTCCTTTTCATCCGCAACAATAACAAATTACTTTAGAATTTGAGAATTGACTAACTTTTACACAAAAGTTCTTGAAGTTCTTTCACTTTTTAGAACAATCAAATCCCTTGCCTCTTTTGTCAAAAATACTTCTTCGAGAACTCAAGATAGAATCAATATGTTTTCCT